ACAAAACACCTACTAGAAACCTCTGGATGATTTTTCCTTACACTTTCCAACTTTTCTGTCGCCACTTTTAAACCTCCATTTTTCGAGTCACCAAAGTCCAGGGCAATGGTCTTCGAAACCACATCAAAACTTACTAAGGTATGAAAAGCTAGGCGTATAAAAAGTGGACCGGTCTTGTCATCTATTTTCTTTCGTATTTCTGTTCTTATTGCACCTTCATCAGCTATAGATATTTTAGACATTTTATTAAATCGATTGATCTTAATTTTTTCGGGATGTTTTCCTTCATAATTTATAATAATTGGGAGTTGAGCGTAATCTCTTAGACCATCATTCTAAGTACCATTTTTGGTAATTAACGAATGAGAAATGAATTTCTCATAAAGAAATGGTGCATCATGTAAAACAAACTTGTGTAATAGACCAACCCACAAATTTTTTCGACGAATTTTTTTCACGCAAGTGATAATTTACTTATTTATCTTTTCATCATTATAAGTACCATTTTTGGTAATTAACAAATGAGAAATGCATTTCTTATAAAGAAAACATGGTGCATCATGCAAAAACAAACTTGTGTAATAGACCAAGCCAGAAATTTTTTCGATGATAATTTACTTATTTATCTTTTCCAATTTTTTCATCATTTTAAGTACCATTTTTGGTAATTAACAAATGAGAAATGAATTTCTTATAAAGAAAACATGGCGCATCATGCAAAAACAAACTTGTGTAATAGACCAATCCACAAATTTTTGACGAATTTTTTTCACGCACGTGATAATTTGATAGTGATTAACTTTCCCAGCTGCACCAATAAAAAAATCACCAGCACGTGATTTGGCCGGAATTACGACATTAGGTGTGACGTTATGAAATTAATCTGACAATTAAGCATGACAAATAGGATTTTAAACAGAATACTTATGAAAATGGGAAATGCAGAAGGTGTAACGAGGGTGACAAATATAATAAATAATAAATATAATTATAATTATAAATACATAAAAGATTACTTAAGCTAATTTTCATTATAATATAATGAAAATAATTAGTACTAGTTTTGA